GCTGTGCTCCGAGCAGAGGAGAACGAAGCAGGGCGCAAGATAACCGAGACAATGTATGGTTATTCCAGGAAAGGGTTGTACTCTGGTTCCACTGATGTCCGCCCCACTGGCCAAAGGAGAGTTCAAGGTCAGCAGTGACAGGACAATAGATTGCTTTCTTCAGGGAGGATTGCGATTCCACAGCAAAGGCTGAGTGTGAGCGCTTTTCACACAGCAAGGGTAGGACACAGCCCTGTGTTTAAGGACTAGGGAGAAAGAAGCCCGTGGGGAGGGTCCGGGAGCCCAGGTGAGAGTGCTCAGAGAGGAGGGAGGAGCAGGGGAATGGGGCGATGTGTTTTTCAGTTGGGCATCCCGATTTACAACACTGCAGTTTGGGAACAGTGTTGCTGCAACATACCCACTTCTGAGCATCACATCCGTCGTCACAGTCATCAAACTCCGAGCCCCACTTAGCACTCACTTCTGTGGGTGGGCTCTGGGTGTCTGTTCTGTTGGCCACTGTTACTCACTTAACTACGTTCCTTCGTGCTGCATGTGAGAGATCACTCCAGACTTGTCTGCCCCGACTCACCTCTCTGGGCACAGTGCCCCCTGTCCCAGAGGCTGACAGATCTCAGGGCAGTATCCGTGTGTTCTGAGCATCACCCAGTATGGCTGAGGTCATGAGCTGTCAATCAGACAGACACTTCCCTGCACCACTGCCTCCTGGGAGCACTGGAGTGAGGAGAGGGAGTTGGGCCTGTCAAAGGCTGCCAGGCCTAGGGAATGGTGGGTCCCCAAATCACCCCCCGGAAGTGGGATGTTCTGCAATGAGCAAAGATACACGTCCGGTGTCTGAACTGAAAGCATTTCAGCTCTAGTAGCTCCCCCCGCCAGGTACCCCACAACCTCATGTCTCCCCAGCACCCTGACCTGCAGATCCTTCATGCACAGCCAGTGAAGTGGGAAACTCGGAGAGGGGCTGCCTGACGTTTCCAATTCCCAAACCCCATCTGGCTTCTCAGCCAGCACCAATGCCAACTGCTCCTGTGTCCAGGGCACCCTATGCCCACCGCACCATCCATGCCTCTCAGCCAGGAGCCCATCACCCCAGAACGGCCGCTCATAGAGCAGGGCAGGTGGCAAGCTCGACTTTCAAGCTCCTCGGGTTGCTGACAAGGCAACTGTGTGGGCGGGGAGGAAGACCTTGGAGGGGGGTTCGCGCATCCTCCCTACCTAGGTGGCTCCTGCCAGCCCCGGCTCAGCCTCAGAGGCCTTGAGACAGGCCTTGAGACACAGACGCGAGCCAGCGCTCGCCACATGGCACAGCAGCCCTGGCCACCTACACACACTCAGCTCTGCCCGCTGCGACTTCCAGCCCTTGTGCAGTGTGAATGATCAGCGCTTCTCCTAATGGTTACAGTGCTCCTACGCCCCGTTAATTCTTCGTCTCTAGTACCAAAGGGCTTGGGTTCAAAGGCTGTGAAGTCCTTCTCTGGCACTCGCACTAGAAGACACTACAAGGATTACAAGTCCTGGCGACAAAGGTGCAGGAAATGCTCTGTGCAGACTAGAAGACACTAGGAGGATTACAAGTCCTGGCGACAAAGGTGCAGTAAATGCTCCGTGCAGAATTCTGAGCTGGCTACAAGGGTCAAAGGACAGACTGGGGGGCAAAACAGAAGGAAAGGCCATGTAGCTCTGTGTTTCCCCCTGGCTTCGTTTCTTGGAAGAGATCACTGCCAAAGCCCGGGAGGCTCACGCAGGCGAACACGGCCACATCTTCTGTTCCCTCAACAGTGACTGAGCAGCTGAGGGAAACCGGTTCACCAAGTGTCCATGACAAATCCACAGCTTCACTGCGGCCAGCGGAGCCTCCTGCCAGAAGCCTCCCCGAGGGCCTGTTTCCTAGGAGGCACGAAGGACACGCTGCTGAGCAGCAGGACGAGTGGGATGCCCAGCCCAGAGTCTCTGCTTGAGGCGGAGTCCGAGCCCCAAGGCCACTCACTCAGCCTCAGACTCTCCGGAACTGCGGGGCCAGAGCCTGCATGAGGCTGCAGGCCTGGATGTAGGCGCTACGGAACTTGGGTTTTCAAATCAGTGTAAGATTTCTTTTCAGTGCATGTTGGACTTCTGTACCTGTCTTCTGTACCCAAGGTCGTGTCAGAATGTCTCAGGGAAAAAGGGGTCCCCAATGGACAGAGGCCAGAAGCCCTGCCGAGCTCAGATAAAGCTGATCCACTGACCATCTCACTACTCGCCCTGGCATCTCCTTTCAGGCCCTTATGAAGAGATCCACCCTTTGCTCGTAGGAATCACTGGACCCGGAGACTGAGGTCCAGCATGAAAACTCAAGGATCTGAACATAGAAAACCACAAACTGATTAGAGTACTTCGTTTTCAACTATGACAAATCCCTATATTAATATAATATGGTGAAAGTAAGTAAAATCAAATCAAAGGCTTTGACTTTCATTTTTGTAGTTATTTAACTTTATTATATCTTAAAATCTGAAATCTGTAAAACAGTATTTATACAAACACCTGAGGACTGTTCAGTTGGGCACAGCATCTTCTCACAAACAGTTTGAAAGAAGACCAGGATTAAATTATAATTCTGTCTTATAACAAAAAATGAATAACATAGACCAAACCACCCTTTAAATAGTTGCATTCATGTATAAAGTACATTTGGTTTTCCAAAAGTGAAAATGTACATTCTTGCCCCTGGTGTCTCCTTCTGGGGCAATTACAACAAATGGCTAATACTTTTAGCACAGATTCTCATAGCTTATAAACATTATACCAAAGTTATACAAAGTAAAAACATACACATTTAGCACCATTTTCCCTTGAAAGTTCTAACTTTAAAAATCAAGATCAAAATGTAAGTCAGAACTAGTATACCTTCCAATATTTAGCAGAATAAATGGCTCAGAACTAAGCAAATTAACCAGAAACATTGCATAGGACAGAGAACTTCCCTGTATGGAAACCAATCTCTGGATTGTTTCTTATCCCCTGAAGACTAAGCTGAGAGGTACTAGTTAATGATAGCAAATGATGCATATGGTTTATTACAGAATAAAAATACCTAACCATATATATAGTTGGTCATTACCTCTGTGGCAGTACAAAGTGCCATATTAAGTTCAAAAAGAACAGATTTACTTGCTTGAATACCTACAGATATAGAATAATATATAAATATGGTATACTCCATATGAGGAATAAACCAGACAATAAAATATATATTTTAAAATTTGGGGCACAGGTGTATTCATATAGATATGAGAAATGAATGTGTAGTTTAAATGTCTAAGTTTAGCAAAAATATTAAGAATTTAAAACAAAGATTTTGTTGGAAAAAATGTAATGAGACTCCATCCAAACCACCTTTGTAGTATAATATCTCCTGCATAAAACAACTACTCTATCATATAATTGTTCAAAAGATGAAAAGAACATTTTATGAATGTTCATAAGTTTCCTTTTTCTTTAAATATGAAGATATACAACATATAAAGAAATAATGAAAGGAAAATAATTTATATGGCTATTTCCTTTCTGAAAACTGGTAGGGCACAAACAGAACACGGCAGTAACAGACATAAAACATTTTGGAGAAAGAGATGAATGCTACAGTTGTATTTTAAAATTCTTTTCTAAGGAAAACTTTTCATGAGATTCGTTAGAAAACTTGTCAGTTACTGATACTTTCCCCTTTGGGATTTAGCTGTTTTGGTTCTATATATAAAGATCAACCAAAATCAAAGATGTCACTGTTTTCTCTATACAAAATACATTTGTAAACTATACAATTAGTAAAAACCATACAGAACTGCCTATTTAAATATGCTAATATATTGTAACATGACAAATGATCTTTAAAGAAGTAGACTGGACTGCAATGTATTTCTGCAATTCTAGATATAATGTGTTTTTTGTGTTTTTAGAGGAATGGACTAAAAGAACAAAAATAGCTTTAAATAAAAAAGGTAACAGTACAACTAAGAATTATATCCAGTCTAAACTTACACATTTTTTTCAGTCATATTTTCCTTCTTTAAGTTTTTCAACATAGTAACATAGTTTTAGGGCTGGCCCCAGCTTGAGCCCCAGGTACTTCATCACAACATCACTTTTTAGTAGTAACAGAGCCTTCCCATCAATTTCCTAAAGAGAGAAAGAAATTATAATAACTAATAATGCTTTCATATTTTGCCAAGAGTTATTCACATATAAGAGCATGTAAAATAGAGCAACTGTGCATTTTAATAGATTCACTTAAAATGCATTTATTTCCTAAAAGCTATTAAAATGTGCTCTATAGGGAAATATAATTGCAATTTATAAATTCACTTCAAATTTTAAGAAAAGGAAACTTAAATCTCTGAAGAATAGCCTAAGCACAAAAATATCTCATTTTATATATACAGTATGCTGAATTAAAATACTATGTATCTATGGGCTGGAGAGATAGTACAGCAGGTAGGGGACTTGCTTTCCATGTACCCAAACTGGTCCCAGACATCCCATATGGTCCCTCCAGTACTGAGAGAAAAGATTCCTAAGCATAGAGCCAGGCGTTGCCCCTGAGCATCATGAGGTGTGGTCCCAAAACAAAAACAAAAATAAAATATTGTACATCTATAAGAAAGGATACAAAATTCTGTGTTGTAGAGATATAATTGACTTTCACTGACTTTCTTCAAAAGACTAGGAATATGACGGCGTCTGCATCATGCAAACCCCAAATCACCTCTATAACATGTTGTATTGATGTGAAAAGCTAATCACTTGTCTGAAGCTAATTAGATCTTAAGACTAATTATTGGTTTTCTTTTATTTTTCTTCAATCCTTCACTTATTTTAATTAGCCTTAACTCTAGCTTTTGTCAGGTATAATCAGGGAAATCACTCCAGCAGCCTTGTAAACTCAAATTATTTTAGATTTTTCTCTGAGGCAAAATAGGCTCTTACTGCTTACATTCTCTGAGTTGCTTATAGTCCTTATTTTTTGCTGTGTTCCCCCACTCAATCTGGGCTGCCACAATCAGATAGACAGAAAGTGCAAGGACACGTTTTTTTCCTTGCTCTGTAGTGAAAACCTTGGCAGCAGATAAACGGCTGTAAGTCTGTCAAATAGATGCATAATTACTGACATTCTTAAATACTGGCCATAAGATACAGCACATATTTGGTCATTAGTGAGACCAGAAAAATAGATGATGAACACAGTACTTCACTGATAGGAGGCATTTTACAATTTTTTATTTCCTAATTAACTGGTTTGGGATGAAAACATGTTTGGTAGTCTTGAATACCTATTTAAAATAAATAAAGCTTTACTTAATCTTCTCCCGTTTCTGGTTTCACTGGGCATCACAACAAGGATATCCTGCCACAGCTTACGTCAACTCCATCCTACTCTCAGGGGAACAGGGAGCAGATGGGGAGGAGGAGCCTCGCAGCTGTTGTTACAAAGACCTGAAAGTGGCCAGTCTGAATCATCTTTTCTTGAGAATTCAAGGACTTGTAGTGTGTTAGGTACTTGGGCAACCATTTTAAACAGATTACACCTCTACTCTGAAGAGCATCTAACACAAAATAATCCTTCTCACCCATGAAAAACTCGGTTTACCAGGTTCTCACACCGTACACACTAATCAGTGTTCAACTGAAAGCTCCACAGAGGCCATTCACAAAAACATTATGATAAGAAAACTGATTAAAAGATACTTTACATGCTGTCTGAAGAGGTCAGTAAGGGAGCTTGATATCTGAGGATCTTTGTGTTTCATATACTGGATCACTTCATCGACAGTCCAGGTTGAAGGGTCCTTGGGGAAACCTTGTTTCAGGACACTGGAGTCCAGTACAACTTCAGTGAGGGGGAGGAAAAAAACACAACATATCATACTTGACCTTATCATTATCCTGGAAGGAGAGACATTCTTAGGGAGTAAATAGAACCTTCAGTTAAGTGCCCCAAAAGCACCCAGGACACTAAGAATAAAATCTAGTGAAAGCCTAGACAAAGATGTACTCAAAGGACTAGAGCACAAGTTTTGCATATGGGAGCCCCTGGTTCAAGTTCTAGCACTGTCTGGTTCCACAGGTACGACTGGGAGTGGTCCCTGAGCACTGACTGCCTCAGGAGTAGGCCTTGAGCAACACTGATATACCCCCCTCACCCCAAAAGAAAAGGCTGATCTGAAGATAACTACCCAGGAGAGTCACATCTGAACTCCCAGCAAACAACTGAAGTAGACTTAGAAGTTACCTTAAAGTTTCAAAGATAGTGAAAGACCACAACAGGCAAAAACAGCAAAAGAACTGTTACTTAGGTTAAATTAGATTTTTTTTTTTTTTTGCTTTTTGGGTCTGGGTAACAGCTGGCGATGCACAGGGGTTACTCCTGGCTCATGCACTCAGGAATTACTCCTGGCGGTGCTCCGGGGACCATATGGGATGCTGGGAATCGAACCTGGGTTGGTCACGTTAAATTAGATGAATTAAATGAATTAAATTAGATGAACATTAAAAAAAGCTATTACTTTTTTTAAGTTTTTCAATGACTTTTTTTCTTTTAGTCTACATTGGGTTTGCTTTACAAGCTAACACAATAGAAATCTGCTAATTTTTAGTTTAATAATTATTTAACTTTATTTAATCCACAAACTGCCACAATCCTCATTATCGTCAATGAAGCAAAGTTCTTTTACCAAATCTTTACTAAACGTCTGCACTATGAATATTTTTGACATCACTTTACTGTCTCTCAAGGCTCAAATGTGTATCTGAGTTTTGAATCAAGGCCATGTTCTGTTTAGGTAAGTGAGAAGTATCTTTAACATTATATTGAATACCTCTTTCAAGTTTAATTGCATAGTAACGAGAATTCTGCTTGAAGGTTTCTACATTTAAAAGACTGAGACATGAAACTAAAAAATTTTAAGTATTCTTATCTGAAAAAGTTTTAGTTGTGCTGCTCACTAAGTTGTGCTGAGGTATCTTTGTGTTCAGACAAGTATTCATTTGTTTGTTCAACTCCCTAAACATAGTGCATGATAACAGAAGTCGATTTTGTAGTTAATTTTCTAGGAAGATTTGTTTCTCTCACCAAGGACCAATACCGCATATCTGAGCTTTTTGCATGGGAAAAAGACAAATGTATACCTTCTTCTTGCCTATCACCTGGGAATTGGCTACTTTTTGAAGCATTCTCAGTATTTGCCCAAGAAAAGAACAAAGTGAAACAGAAGCTAAAAAAATTATTTAATAGACAGTATGTTATGTATAGTTCAGAATTTTACTTTTTACAGTATTACTTTTCTGTAAAATATATCCTTCCTCTCATTTGTCAGAGATTTTTAAAAAAACTGGCCACGTCTGCCAGGAAATATTGCTGGGCTCTATCAACCCAAATGATTGTATAGACGACACGATCCCAAATTTACCCGGTATGAGACAATCCCAAATTTACTTGGTCTACCAGCCAGTTTTCAGAAAAGAAATCATTTAAGCACCCCCCTGCTCCCAGAAATCAACCTCCTTTAAGTGAACAGAAACACCCACCAGTGCCCCCGCAGGAGCGGTATTGCCCACTTTGGGAAACACTGGCATAAGTAGTGTTGTGCCTAAGACATTTTAATAATAATTTAGAGTCTTTTTAACTCAAGGAAAAGTAAATTTACTAAAATATGGTATTGACAAGATTAATATACCTCTACACTGACTTATGCTTTTGTGAGATTTCTGGCACGGAAATCTAATTTTATATTAAAACAAACTGTAGCATAATGTATTTTTAATCTAACCTGGAAAAAATTTAATTGGGCCTACATCTTCAAAACAACCAGAAAAGGTTGGAAACATTACACATTAGTGCTGTTCAAATAATTACATGAAACTAATTATGTGAAAAGTAAAGTACAGTCATACTTTCTCCTGAGTGACCTTGTTTTATATACACTAGGATATTAATAAATATTTCTGAACTTAATAAAATTAATGTGACTTCATTTTATTTGATCCCCAAATGATGTTACATGATCTCTTTCCTGTAATAAACAATAATTTATTTCACTTAAGTAATAAATATGCTCACATAATCTCCTGAACAATCAGGGGGTGGCTTTAGTTTCATGTACTAGGTCTAATACTTTAAGAAAAATAAGATATTTGTCCCTCTAGATAATTTCCAAATGCTTTCCTATGTTCTGTGGATGAGGGAAGCAAGAGCGGTTAGAGCAGAGTCCTGGAGATGAGAGCCTGGGTTCAAGGACCGGCCAGTCACTTTCTATTCGAGGGATCTTAGTCAAATGTTTCTCAGATTTCTCAACTAAGAATGTCTGATGCATCTGCATCTCAAGAAATAGATGTAAGGGTGTAGCATGTGAAGCACTACAAAATATTATGTATAGAACATGTCAGATATTTATAAAGATTTCTATTAAATTACTAGTTGGAAATGGTAAATATTATTAGTCTTTCTGGTCCTAAGACCAGAAGCGAATGTTCTCAAGCCCAAATACAGGTTACTTTGGGATAGTGGTATTAGGCATAGATACTTGGAAGCAAGATATTCTGCATTAGAGGTAAACTTTCAAATCCTTTTACTCAGAAAATCTGGTATTCAAGTTTATATTTTATGAAAGTATCTAGAAATTAAGGGAAAATGAAAAATTAAAATTAAGGAATAAGCTATCCTCACCTGAAACAAACTATATCACTTTAAAAACAAAACAATTAAATAAAAACAGACCATCTACACAGAGGGGGGGATAGAGGAGATAATATTAAATGTTGCCCTTAGATAATATCCATGAACGGCAAGAAAGTTTCTCAAGTTCCCATTTTCTTAACTCCTCAACCTTGCCTATCTGGAGAAAAAGGAGAAAACTCACTGCTACCTTTATGTCCTATTCCCATGCACCTAAAAAGGATGCAAGGTAGTAGCTATCTTTGTATATGAAAGCTGCCCTGACTCTTCCCAACAGACAACAGGATGTTGACCTGTTTATACATGCCATGTCTTCCCAGTCGGTCTAAGGAATGCCTGAGGGTCTGGAATGAAGGGAATGGCTGCAGTAATATCTGGGAGCCATGTGCTGGATGGGGCCAGGAAAAGTCTGAAGAGAAACCAGGAAGAGGGCATCAGAAGTGGGAGAGAATCATCTTTCTAGACCCGAGTCATGAGAAATTTGTGAGTTGAGACTGCATCCAAAAATGATAGATTATAATGGAATGAGAACCACAAATACAAAAGTTCCTCTCAGAGACATCATCAGTGATACAAAATCCCCAGAAATACTTTAGTGATGCAGTGAGGAGTGGAGTATCCGCAGAGACTGGCCCTATAGTGAGTGAGTGAAGGGGAGGATCTGACCTCAATTTTGGCACTTTCTGCTATGTGATACACATTCTGGAGTATACTGGGCATGGAAACTTTAAGGGGAAGGATTAAAAACACTGACAGAGAATTGCCATTTTAGAATATACCTTTGCTTCTTCTTCATTTTTGGGTTTTAACTTCATGCTAACTGCTCCTGGAACATGATTTGGTCCTCACTAGTAATAAACTTGAGGGGCCTAGCAAATTTGGAGTAAAATTCTTGAAAACAGTAGTATGAGAGCTTATAGGACTTCTGCAGGCAGGATTAAAATAATTCACTGGACTTAGTGTTGGGTTCTTGGGACTTTCAGTAAGCTCTCTGGGTATGCCATTTCCCTCAGAAAACAAGAATTCTTCTATAAGAAAATTTGAAAGACTAAAACTTGAAAATTAGAAAAATTAGAAAATTAGACTAAAACTTGAAAAGACTAAAACTTGAAAATTAGAAAAAACTTGACAGACTAAAACTTGAAAATTTGAAAGTCTTAAACTGTCTTCAAGAATAAAGCTCAAGGGGCCTGAAAGAAAGTGGGTAAGGTGGTTGCCTTGTACGTAGCTGACTAGGATTCAATCCCTAGCACCCCATATAGTCTTCCAAACTCTCCAGGAGTAATCCCTGAGCACAGCCAGGTGAGGCTCTTCCCCCGCACGCACAACAGTCTTAAAACTCAAATTCCCTTGAAAAGCCCAACCCCTGTTAATCTCCAAAAATTTATTTAAAATCAATCACAAACTCTACCACATAATACATGGGC